GTATTGCATGGAGCACTGGGTGTGGTGCAAAAACAATGAATACTGTTAAGCTGAAAAGAAATAAAAAAAAGAAATAGGGATTATTAGATGTGCAAGAAGGTGACAATATGTATGAAAATCAGCTCTTACTACTAAGGATGCAGAAGTATTTCCGTACTTGAAAGCAATCAGGGGTACATTCTGTGACCAACTCATAGATTTGAGCACATGAAATAGTTAGACATTCACTGAATCCCATCAGTACATCTATATACAATACAAAGAGTAAGAGGTAAACAGCAAACTTGTTGAAAAAATTACCATTCTTTTTTTTTTGAAAGAATGCAACCAAAACACAATAAAGACATCACATCCCAGTATATGAAAGCAATGTACTTGCTAAAACAATTTGCATATAGGAAGTAAATGGAAAATAAAGCAAAAAATATATTAGCCTCCTCAGTAATAAGATAGTGTCAAAGTGATGCTCTTTGGCATATCCCTTTTTGCATTTAGGTACATTCCCCCCCCCACCCCAGGGAATATCAGTGGAAGAGATGATACTGTAAAATGTATGTCTCAAAAACTACTGTCACAAGGTAGTATTACCTTCCATGGGGCTGGATCTTTCTAATAAGTACAGAACAAACTAAATATACCAATATGTGAAATTAAAAAAAATGTTCTTTCTCCCTTCTCATACCTCTGAACCTAATGCTTTGTTTCCCTATTCCCCTAGCTGCAAAATCCTTGAATATATTCTATTTCACTGGAACCACTTTATGCCCCCTAGTCCTTACACTGTCTCATCCAACTGGACTTCCATTCCCACTGTGTATTTTTTTAAATTTTTATTTATCTTTTAAAATTTCTTTTCAGTGTTCCAGAATTCATTGTGTATGCACCACACCCAGTGCTCCATGCAATATGTGGCCTCCACAATACCCACAACCATGCTCACCCAACCTTCCACTCCCTCCCCTCCAAAACCCTTAGTTAGTTACTTAGAGTACACAGTCTCTCTTGGTTACCACCATGTATTGTTAACCATGATCTTATAAAGCTGAGTCTAATGAACACTTCTTTCTGAAATATATTAAATAGGGTGCTTGGGTGGCTGTCAATTAAGCATCAACTTTGTCTCAGGTAATGATCACGGGGTCCTGGGATCTAGTTCCACATCAGGCTCCCTGCTTAAGGGGGACATCTGCTTCTCCCCCACCCACATCCCCCTGCTCATGCTCTCTATTTCTTGCTTTCTCAAATAATTAAATAAAATCTTTAAGCTGAAATAAGAAACATAATAAATAATTTGAAGATCTATATTCTTTAAGAAATATAGTAATAATAAAATATACTAAATTAATTATTTTTAAACTTAGTAGTCAACCCAGCAAACAAAAATATAGTCTCTTGACTCTGGAATAGGCTGGCTGGGCTCTCAGTTGACCTCAGGTAAAGAGTGTCAGGATCCATTCTCTCTGATCCTTTCCTGAAATACCTGCTGAGCTCTGATACTAACCTGGGTTGGGTCTGCAGGATGAAAGTCTCTGTGTGGAGGTCCAAATTTGTCCCTGGATAGCTGATGATGGAGGCAGAAGCTCTGTTACCTGAAAGGACAGCAGAAAGGAGTGAAGCATGGGTCCCCCAGCCAGACAGAGTACCCAAAACAAGAACCATATCTTTTCCCACACAAAGATGCACCATGGTAAGGGACTGAAGCAGCGGAGATATTTACAGATCTCTGTCTCTGGTCATTAGGCACTGTTTGCATTGTTACCTCCACCTCTGAGCACATTATTCCCCTGTGGGCCACTGGTCTGGATGGAAAAAAAAAAGTTTTTTCCTGCCAATTCTATGTTCCCAGGAGACCAGATTAGTAATCATGTGAATCTAGTTATTACCTTCTCCACAATCTTGCCTGCCTTCCAGAGCACTAACCACTTTGCATCTTATCCCAATTTTTAGTTAATGTTTTCTCCAAATCTAAGACTGAGGAATTTCCTTATCCAGGTCTCATGGACCTCCAAAGTATTGTGTTATGGCAGAGAAGATCTCCTTATATCTCTAGAAAATTTCTGTCCCTCTCTTCAACAGGTGAAAGGGGTATGTTAATTTGCGATAAACATATGGATACAGTGCCCTTGTCTTCATGATGCTTTTGACTGATCAATCATGTGAGTCATACTGATGACGCAAATTCAGAACTGCCATTTAGTGCTCAATTTAAAAAAAGTTTGTTAATTATGAGATATTTGGATTGCTTTATGTGCCATACAGTGAGCTAGGATCTTATTTGGATTTTTTTTTTTTCATTTTTGCGAAGTCCACTTTGTAAGTTCTGTACTATAATTAACCTTAATCTACACTTGAAAAGTGGGGTTCAGAAGTGTCAAATGAGCTACCCAGAGTTAAGAGTTGAGGGAGGAATGAGCTTTGACTGGAACTCCACCAAGATATCTCTAGTTCTCATACCCTAGGTCAGTGGTTCTCAACCGGGGGCAATTTTGCCTCCAGAGAACCCTTGACAAGATATGGAGAAATCTTGGTTGTCCTAACTAGGGAGGTTCTACTAGCACCTAGAGGCTTGAGTCCAGTGGTGCTGCCCCATATCCCACAATGCACAGGATGACCCCCTCCACAATGAATTATCTACTTCAAATGTCAACAGTGGAGAGGATGAGAAACACTATTTTAGACCTAAACTTCTCCAGCATTAACATGTGTTTGATTCACATGAGGATCCTGTTCAATATCAGATTCGGATTTGGCAGAATGTGGGTGAGGCTCAGAGATCCTGTAACTGCAACAAAAAAATGGCCAAAAGACACATGAGAAAATGCTCAACATCACTAGCCATTAGGGAAATACAAATCAAAACCACAGTGACATACCACCTTACACCAGTTAGAGTGTCTAAAATTAACAAGCCAGGGAATAACAAATGTTGGTGAGGATGTGGAGAAAGGTGACCCCAGTCACGCTGTTCATGGGAATGCAAGCTGATACAGCCACCCTGGAAAACCATATGGAGGTTCCTCAAGACATTAAAAATAGAGCTGCCATATGGCCCAGCAATTGCACTAAGTATTTACTCCAAAGATACAAATGTAGTGAAATAATGGGTCACCTGGACTCCAATGTTCATAGAAGCAATGTTCTCAATAGCTAAGCTGTGGAATGAACCAAGATGTCCTTCAACAGATGAATGGATAAAGAAGATGTGGTTCAAGTATACAATAGAATATTACTCATTTCTCATTACTCAAAGCGAATACCCTCCATTTGTACCAACATGGATGGAACTGGGGGGTATTAAGCTAAGTGAAATAGGTCAGAGAAAGATAATTATCATTTGGTTTCACTCTTAGGTGGAATGTAAGAAATAGTGCAGAGAATCCTAAGGGAAGGGAGGGAAAACTAAAGGGGAAGAAATCAGAGAGGGAGACAAACCATGAGGGACTTGTAACTCTGGAAAACAAACTGAGGGTTACTGAAGGGGCATCTGTGGGGTAACAGGTTAACTGAGTGACAGGGGATAAGGAGGGCACGTGATGTGATGAGCACTGGGTGTTACATGCATCTGATGATGTATTAAACTCTACGTCTGAAACTAATGATGCACTGTATGTTGGCTAATTGAATTTAAATTAAAAAGTGCATTCTCTGGCAGAGCAGTTAAGGTAGTGATATACGAAGGAAAGATGTTCACAAAAGGGAAGTGCAGTGGTCTCAGGTTTTTCTCTGTTATAAACTTATTTAAATGGCTGTGGTGGCTAAGAGTAGATTTTTCCGTGGGAATAGTATTCAGTCAAAAAAGAAAAAATGCTCACTGTGATATATTTTATTTGAGAAGAAATTATTCTTAACCGATTCATGTAGTCCTTTGAATAAATGAGAATGTTCTGAACATTTCACATCCAAGGTTAGGAATAACATTGAAAGACTAGGAAAATGACAAAGGGAAAAATCTCTTGAATATCAGAGATATCACAAAGCTTAATAAAATGCGTTTCATAAACTATACAGAAAGGTAAAAAAAATAGAAATTCTAGGAAAAAAAATATAAAAGACATGTACCACTTCCACAATCTGATCAAAGCATCTAAACATTTGATGTAAGAGAATGGTTTTGTTTCATTCTTCTACACACAGCTGTGCAATTTTCCTGGCACCATTTATTGAAGAGACTGTCATTTTTCCACTGTATATTTTTTCCTGCTTTGTCAAAGATTATTTGACCATAGAAATGAGAGTCCATATCTGGGCTCTCTACTCTGCTCCACTGGTCTATGTGTCTGTTTTTATGCCGGTACCATGCTGTCTCGGTGATCACAGCTTTGTAGTAAAGCTTGAAATCAGATAACGTGATGCCCCCAGTTTTGTTTTTCTTTTTCAACATTTCCTTAGCGATTCGGGGTCTCTTCTGATTCCATACAAATTTTAGGATTGTTTTCTCCAGCTTTTTGAAAAATACCGGTGGAATTTTGATCGGAATGGCATTGAAAGTATAGATTGCTCTAAGCAGTATAGACATTTTAACAATGTTTATTCTTCTGATCCATGAGCATGGAATGGCCTTCCATCTTTTTGTGTCTTCTTCAATTTCTTTTACGAGTGTTCTGTAGTTCCTCGAGTACAGATCCTTTACCTCTTTGGTTAGGTTTATTCCCAGGTATCTTATACTTCTTGGTGCTATAGTAAATGGAGTTGATTCTCTAATTTCCCTTTCTGTATTTTCATTTTTAGTGTATAAGAAAGCAACTGATTTCTGTACATTTCTTTTGTATCCTGCCACATTACCTAATTGCTGTATGAATTCTAGTAGTTTGGGGGTGGAGTCTTTTGGGTTTTACATATAAAGTATCATGTCATCTGTGAAGTGAGAGAGTTTGACTTCTTCATTGTCAATATGAATACCTTTCATTTCTCTTTGTTGTCTTATTGCTGTTGCTAAGGCTTTTATTTTGTTCAGATTTTGGGCCCTGCAATTGTGGGCACTTTCTCAGCCCCATGAATATTCATGGTTTTAGAGCGGCCATCCCACAGAATCTTATCAGAGCCTCCTTTATGTCTTTGTTTCTAAGGCTATAGATGAAGGGATTCAGCATGGGTGTGACTACAGTGTACATCACTGAGGCTACTGCACTTGAGTGGGAGCTCTGGGTAGCCCCAGAGCTAAGGTACACTCCTAGGCTTGTACAATAAAACAAAGAGACAACAGAGAGGTGAGACACACAGGTGGAAAATGCTTTATGCTTGCCCTGAGATGATGAGATCCCACGTATGGAGGAAACTATCTTAGAGTAAGAGTAAATGATACCAATGAAGGGACCACCAGCCAACAACATAGCTGCAAAATATATCACCATGTTATTGAGAAAGGTGTCAGAACATGCAAGTTGGATTATCTGATTGATTTCACAGAAAAAGTGGGGGATTTCCAAGACTGTGCAGAAGGACAGCCGCAACACCAAAGAAGTTTGTAACAAGGAATGCGAGGCACTCAGAATCCAGGACATGAGAACCAGCAGTCCACAAAGCCAGGGGTTCATGATGACTGTGTAGTTCAGTGGGTGACAGATGGCCACAAAGCGGTCATAAGCCATCACAGTCAGGAGAAAGATGTCTAGTCCTGTAAACAGTATGAAAAAATACATCTGTGTGATGCAGCCTCCATAGGTTATGTCTTTGCTCTGAATCTGGATGTTCCACAGCATCTTCGGGATTGTGGTGGAGGTGAAGCAGATGTCTACAAAGGATAAGTTGGTGAGGAAGAAGTACATGGGGGTGTGGAGGTGGGAGTGAGAGCTGACAGCCAGGATGATGAGCAGGTTTCCAAACAGTGTGATCAGGTACATGGAAAGGAAAAATCCAAATATGATTGGCTGCAGTTCTGGTTCTTCTGAAAATCCCAGAAGCTCAAACTCTGAAATTCCTGTATTGTTTCCTGGGTCCATGTGGTGGAGTGAACTACCAGCACAAAGGAAAATAACATGGCTAATTTTCACAAAAGTGGTCATTGCTCACATTGTCAAAATGCAACAATTTATATTTTCCAGTCATGAAATCTTATTGCAATATTATGTGAATAGATTTCAGCCCCTTGAGAGGATTCTGATTCCTCTCTTATTAGGAATTTTCATCACAACATCAGGCATTCCCCAAAAGGTCAGGTACTATACAGTTTTAGTAAGAAATTATTTCATGCATTTGAGAAATATATTGAATGCTGGCCATATTTTGGGAATTCTAGTCATAAAGTAGTGGGTGTTGAATAGCAAAAGTCCCTAAAATTCAATGATGGTTAAAGGATAGAGGCAGATATAAAAATTAAATAATCATGAGACAGGGACAGATGCTCTAAAGTAAACAGAATCAGGTTAAGACAGTGCATGGGGTGTTATGTTGGGTGTTCAGTCAAGATTGGCTTAGAGGGTGGCATTTGAATAGATACCTCATGGAAGAGAGGATGGAAGAGAGGAGGTCTTCCTGACAGACCAGGTGGTTCTGTTCTGTTCTTCGAACAGCTGGTTTGAAGGCCCTACTAAGTGCTTCTGTCAGAAACTCAAGGCTCAGAAGGAAGCCAGTATGTAGGGAAGTGATGAGAATTGGTGGTAATGAATTTCATAGAATCATGTGGACTCATAGCTGCTTAAAGTTCAAGTCACAGAGAGTTCATGGTCCACAATATTGCATTTTATGATTTTTTCCAGTAAGGTCCTGTCCATTGACACCCCTCCTTAGTATCATCTGATGTTTAAGTTTGGCCTGTGTACTATAAGGGTCTCATTGAAAGAGAGGAGCTTGTGTATCTCTGCTCTGAGGACTGCTCTCACTCATCAAGTTGCCCAGAGAAATGTGCATATGCACACCCACATACATTGTCACATATACACAAGATACACTGTGTCTTCCTGGTGTGTGTTACTCTATGTCCCTGTCACTTCCTTGCCACCCACTCCAACACATTGTTTAGGATACAAATGCATACACAGTCATATAACCCTTGCAATAAGGAATATAGAACTAGGACCCAGAAATTCCTTTTCATAGCTTCCCAGGGACAAATCATTGTGTGGCTCCATTTTGTAATGGCCATTTCCTGACCTATGTGTAAAGAAACATAAAAAATTCTGCTCAACACTTAGAGTCTTTTCTGGTATCCTACAAATTTTAGATTGTTTGTTCCTGCTATGTAAAAAATGGTGGTGGTATTTTGATAAGTATTACATTGAATATGTAGATTGCTTTGGGAAGCATAGACATTTTAATAATATTTTTTCCTTCCAATCCATGAGCATGGAACGTTTTTACATTTATTTGTGCCTTCCTCATATCTGTCACAAGTGTTATACAGTTTTCAGAGTACAGATCTTTTACCTCTTTGATTAGGTTTCTTCCTAGATATCTTGTGTTTTTTGGTACAACTGTAAACAGCTAAGAGACACATGAAAAAAAAATGATGAATATCACTCACCATCAGGAAATTACAAATCAAAACCATGGTGATACCACCTCAAACAATCAGAATTGCTAAAATAAACAACTCAGGAACCAGCAGATGTTGGCTTAGATGTGGAGAAAGGGGAACACTCTTATGCTTACGCTTTTGGTTGGAATGCAAACTGATGCAACCACTCTGGAAAACAGTACGGAGTTTCCTCAATAAGTTAAAAACAGAGTTACCCTATGACCCCTCAATTGCACTGCTAGGTATTTATCCAAAGGGTGAAAACATGGTGATCTGAAGGGCACATGTACTTCAATTTTTTAAAAAAGATTTTACTTTTTGTCTGAGAAAGAGTGTAAGCAAGGGGATGAGCAGAGGCAGAGGGAGAAGCAGGCTCTCCACTGAGCAAGGAGCCTGATGGTGGACTCAGCCCCAGAACTCTGGGATCGTGACCTGAGCTGAAGGCAGATGCTTAACTGACTGAGCCACCCAGGTGTCCCCTCCTCAATGTTTATTGCAGCAATGTCCACAATAGCTAAACTATGGAAAGAGACCAGATGTCCAGCAACAGATGAATAGTTAAAGAAGTTGTGGTGTACATACAGAATTCAATATAACTCAGCCATTAAAGAATCAAATCTTGCCATTTGTAATTACATGTTGGAGTTAGAGTATATATATAAAGTGAAATAAGCTAGTCAGAGAAAGACAAACACCATATGATTTCATTCATATGTGGAATTTAAGAAAGAAAGCTAATGAACATAGGGGAAGGGAAGGGAAAATAAAATAAGATAAAAATGGAGAAGTAGGGAAACCATAAGAGACTCTTTTTAAAAAAATTTTTTTCCACATTTTATTATTTTTTTCCATTTATTTTTTTAAATTTTTTATTTCTTTTATTTCTTGATTATAGGACACAAACTGAGAGTGGCTGGAGGGGAGGTAGATGGGAGATAGGGTAATTGGGTGATTGGCATTAAGGAAGGCACATGATGTAATGTGCACTGGGTGGTAAAATATTTTTTTAAAGATCTTATTTATTTGAGAGAGAGTGTGAACGAGAGGAAGCACATGAGCAGGGGCAGAGCAAGAGGTGGAGGGAGACGTATACTCCCCTGGTGAGTGGGCATGGGACTCTATTCCACAAACTTGAGATCATGACCTAAGCTGAAGGCAGATTTTGCCAACTGAGCCACTCCGGCGCCCCTGCACTGGGTGTTTTAGGCAACTAGTGACTCACTGAATTCCACCTCTGAAACTAATTATGAACATGAACACTGGTCAGAAATATGTATGAAGCAATATTTGGGAGTAGTAAGTATGAAAAAGGACATTTACTTTCATTTTTTGGACAGCAGGTATCCACAAGTGAATAATACTAAGATAGTAGATCAATTCTTTTGTGGGGAAAAACCTAGAAAAAGCAGTGGAGGGAATATACTATGATTAACTCACAGACTATACCACCAAAAAACTTACAGAATCTCACACATTCTGCACAAATACATCTACACATACATAAAAAAGCAAAATGGCAAGTAACTAAATTGGTGAAATAAAGAGCAATTAAGGATGGCATGTATTTCATGGAGCCCTGCGTGTTATATGCAAACAATGAATCATGGAACACCACATCAAAAACTAATGATATACTGTATGGTGAAAAACAGAACACTGTAATAAAAATAAAGAATGTAATAAAGAACAGGAATAAAACCACTCTGATCTCACTGGAAACACCATAGACTCCCACAGACAATTTTCTACGGAGAAAGTGAGTGGCTAGATAAGCCAGACTATGTTCAGGCTCACAGGTAGTGGTATAATTATGAAGAAATCTCACTAGCATACCCCTTTTCACATAATACATGTAAAAATTTTCACTTGAATACTCAAGAGAGAGGAGGTACAGTGATATTATGCTTCATGTACTGTTCTTACAGAGATGTACCAGCGAGAATTCTTTTGTCAGGAATTTTCTCCTTAGTGCAGAAATGTAGTCTACTATGTCCCAACTTAAAAATGAAAAGACATATCCTCAATTCACTGTATGTCCCTCCACAGCTATGACTTGACTTTTCTACCGCAGTTACCTGAAAATATCCTTGGTCTCATTTCCTATTTTATGCTTCCCATCCCTTGTCTTATTGGGTTTCCATTATTATGATTTAGTTGTTAATGTTGAACCTTGTATTTCTGAGTTCAATATTAACTTCTATTTCTAGCATCACATATATGTTAATGAATCAATCAGTGAATTTCTTAATCATGCCAGCAAACAGGCACAGCAAACTCTCAGCTCTGGGCTAGGCTGGATTGTCCCTCAGGTGACCTCAGTTACATGCTTTTGAGTTTCATTCTCCTGACCTTCTCCCTCAATCCCTACTGGGTGGTAAAACTTATCCAGATGGTGTCTCTGTGAGGAAGGTCTCTACATGGAAATCAAAATACCTGTCCAGTTGGTAGATGGTGGAAGATGAAGCTCTGTCCCCAGACAAGAGAGCAGGAATGGGTCAAACTTCAGTGCCCCATGCAAACTTAGGACTGCACAAGAAATGCCCAGGTCTCATCCAGTTTGAGGTTGTCTGTGCTGTGGTACTGCAGCAGAGGAGGTATTTACAGCTGCTTTGGTCTGATCATTAAGCACATTTCCCTCTTGTTCCTCCCACTTTTAGGCACATGGTTTCCCTGTGGGACACTACTTTGGATACAAAGGACATTTTTCTTGTTGAATTTTTTTCCTAGGAGACTGAGTGATAAACTAGGTGAAGTCAGTTTTTCTTACTTTCTCCCTATGACTTCTGCCTTTCAGAGATCTAACTCCCAACACCTTATTCCACTCTTGAATGAGAATTTTCTCCTGTTTAAGACTGGGGAGGGAGTCTTGATTAGGTCTCTTGGGTCCTTCAAAACATTGACTTACTTATTGTGGAGACACAACTCCTGATATCCCTAGAACATTACTTTACCTTTTTTCAACAAAGATGAAAAGTTTGTTCCTTTCATATAAAATCCTGGACTCTACACTCCTTGGCTTCATGACAGTTTTGCCAAAACAAATAGGAATTTCACATTTCTATCAAAAGTTCAGACTATGACATAGAATGTCAATATAAAAGGTTTGTTAATTGTTAAGAGATAAATTTAGAACTTTCTCTGTACTATAATCCAAGTTAACACCATATTATCGGTGTTGCCTGATTTAATTTTTATAAAAGCCATTCTGTGAGGAAGCACTAGGGTGAACTCCATTCCCCATGGAGACATGGAGCTTGATGAATTTAGTGATCTTCTCAAAGATATCATTGCAGGAAAGGATGGGTGTTGATTACCTCCTCTCAGGATGCTCCCAATTTTCAAACTCTGTGCCAGTGGTCCCAAGCAGAGATGTGTTTTTCCCATGGGCATATCTGGCAATGTCTGAGGTATGCTGCTAAAAACTTCCAATGAGCATAACAACTTCCAGCTCAAGTAAGGACCCTCCCTCAATGTTCAGACTGAGAA